AGGCTGGGAAATTGCTGTACAGCCGGGGTCCTTTGCAGATCAGCAGACCTACCCATCTTCATAGTCTAGCAGTTCCCAAGGGAAAAGAACGAGGCTTCTGCCATTGCCTTGCTCCTCTCCATCAGAAGTGCTTTTGTCCTTTCTCTCCCCCGCCCCGATCCTTTACTGTACCTTTCCCCTCCCATGCCATGACCCTTCCTTTTTCTTCCTCCTCCTTTTGTTATACTGTCATAAATATGCAAACTTCTATAAGGACTGTGAACTCTTTGGGTTCCACATGCATGTTCATTTCTCTTGTAATAAACCTGGTTTTCACATAAGTCTCATGATGTTGTGATTGCCTGTTGACAAAAGCCATTCCCCAATTAATGGACATCTCCTCATATTCCCATTCTTTGCCACTTCAAAAAGAGCTATATTTTTGTACACTCTTAGAGCTTATTTTACTTAAGACTAATACCTCCCTACTTTCTCTCTAATTCTCTCTTCTCCACTCTCCCTATTTCCCTATTGAGTAAAGCATATTTCTGTACCCAACTCTGTTATGTGTGTGTAATCTCCCCTCCCCTGACCAGTTTAGATGAGTGAGGTTCAAATACCCACTGCTTCCCCCCTTCCTCATTATTTGTATAAGTATCTACTTGCGCATCCCAATTATGCGAGATAATTTCCCTTAACCTTCCTCTACCGCCCCTCCATCCCACGTATTCCACTTCTCTTTCCATTCTTAAGATCATCAAGACATAACAGAACCATTCCATCTAATTATACTCTATGAATTCTGAGGATGATAGGGTTCAGAAGGGATGTGTATTATCTCCCCATATTAGAATATACATAATTTATCCTGGTTTAGTACCTTAAAATTGTTTCTTTGTGTTTACCTTATGATTCTCTACTTATCTGTTAGAATTTCACTTTCTAATAGAAGGGAGGGCAGATCAGGGGAAGGAGTATTCAGAATGCATGCCATCTTGGGTTGGGGAGAAGGATGAGATGGGGAGAAAATTTGGAACTCAAAATCTTGTGGAAGTGAATGTTTAACTAAAAATAAATTTTTTTTAAAAACTTCACTTTCTACCCAACTCTGGTCTTTTCATCAAGAATGCTTAGAAGTTCACTATTTCGTTGATGGTCACTTTCCCTCATAGGATTATAATCAGTTTTGCTAGGAAAGTTATTTTTGGCCATAAACCCACGTGCTTTGCCTTCTGCAATATCATTATCTCAAGCTCTCTATTCCTTTATTCTGGAGGCTGCTAAATTGTGTGATTCTCTGACTGTAGCTTGAATTCTTTTTGGCTGCTTGCAGTATTTTCTTTGACCTGGAAGCTCTGGATTTTGGTTTCTGGGTGTTTGCATTTTGGGGTTTCTTTTAGAAGGTAACAGTTGCATTCTATTTCCACTTTGCCCTCTGGTTCTAAGACATCTTCACAGTTTTAAGATTTCTTGAAATATGATGTCTAGCTTTTTTGGGGGGGGGGTCATAGCTTTCAAGTAGTCTTAATTTCTTTAAGTTTTTAACCTTGATCCGTTTTTCAGGTCAGTTGTTTTTGTTATGAAATACCTTATTTTTTTCTATTTTTTCAGTCTTTTGACTTTGTTTTTAATATTTTTAGTTCTCACTGCATCATTGGCTTCTATTTGGCCTATTCTAATCTTTAGAGAGTTTTATGTTTGGGCAAGGTTTTGTACCTCTTGTGCCAAATGGTTTCTTCTCCAACTTTTTTCCTCTCTCTCTCTCATTTTATTAAAAAAAATGTAAACTCTTGCTTCATTTCTTCCAGGAATCGTAGTTGAATTTGTGCCTAAGCTAATATTTTTCTTTGAGGCTTTACTTGTAGGTGTTTTGGAGTCATATCTTATGGGCTTCTGCCTTCAGCATCCCTGTTAGAATACTAGACTTTTCAGTGGAATATTTTTTTTTTTCCTTGTTTGCTCATTCTTCCAGCCCACCTTCTTATTTCAGATGATATTAACGCTAGGCTGTACACATTTTAGGGGCAAAAGTCTGGGCTGGTCCTGTTGCTGCTTTTTTGGGGGTATTGATATTATATTATCCAGAATCTCAGGGACAGATTAGGCTGGAGACCTGTAAACTATTAGTGGTCTGCTCCAGGGCAAAGTTTGATCACTGCCCCTTTGGTCTGATCTCCAAATTCCTTACCTAGGTTTGGGTCTGCTAATGGATTCATTCACTATCAGTCAGATGGAAAGCTCTGCTGATTCATAGTGATAGATTTTGCAAATAGAATCTTTGGTCTTCGATATCTACTTAGTTATTCCTCTGCAGACTTTTGATTGGGCTAGAAGTTGGAACTCAGATCCCACCCACCTCACATCTGTGCCACAGAACTGCTGCTTGCTTCTAAACTTGTTCCTTGTGGTACAGTCAGGTCCTGTGACCACTCTCTTCTCTGCCACCCCGAGTACTGGTCTCCTCCTCATTCTACCCTGGATCTGTGACCAGCAACTGTCCGTTGGCACATGTTCCCACATCCTGCATGACGCTGTGGTGTCCCTGTATGGAGCTGCCCTGCCTTGTTCTGTTTTAGGTCCTGGGTGCCAGACCCAACCCCAGTGTCCCCAGAACTCTTTGACTTCCTGGCATGAGAAAAAAAATGACTCCTGATTTTTTTGTCTGATTTCTCCGTCAGAATTCAGTTTTGTGCATTTTCTAGATATTAAAGGTAGAGGGGAGCTCACTATAGTTCTTTCTGCTATTCTGCCACCTTGGCTCTGTCCTCCATATGATCAATTCTTTGGGTAAATTTGACCAGGAACAGACTAAGAGGGAATCACCACCTTCAAATACTTTAAGGGCTGTAGTGGGAAAAAGCAATTGGTCCTCTTCTAGTTTTATTTCAGGAAACAAAACTAGAACAAATGTGCAGAAGTTATAGGAAGTCAGATTTCAGCTTATTAAAAAAGAATTTTTTCCCTAATATTAATGGCTATTGCCAACCCTAAAATTGTTTTGAGAAAACAGTCCATTATAATAACTGATACATGTGCCCTCAAAGGAACAAAATACAAATAAATCAAATAGCTTGATTAGGATTAAAGGTAACCATAGCTTATCACTTCTTTATGGAGAGAAGAAAAGTACATTTCATCATCACCTCTCTGGAACCATTTTCATAATATGAATTCTGATATCTTTCAATGTTGTTTTCATTTACTATATTACAGTTGATTGAGCCCTCAACTCAACGTTATATAGCTGTCATATCAGAAACTCAATAGGTTATTTTCTTTTCCATTATTTGAAATACCATTATCTGTCCATATATACAGTAAATATTTATTAAATTTTTCACTACAATGAAGAACTGGAAATTAAAAGGGTTACCTTATCAGTTTTGGAGACTGGCTGAACTAAATTAAGGTATATGAATATGATGTGATATTATTGTTCCATAAGAAATGCTAAAAGAGATGGATTTATAAAAACTTGGCAAGTCTTTATGAAATGATGCATAGTAAAGTGAGCAGAAACAGAAAAACAATCTATATAATAACTACAATACTATTTAAAAATGGAAAGACTTAAGAACTCTAATCAATGTAATGATCAACTATTACTCCAGAGAACTAATAATGAAAGATGCTATCCCTCAACTGAAAGAAGTTGGGGAGAGTGGTTTGACATGCAAAATGACACATACATTTTTGGAAATGGTCAATGTATGGATGTTTGCTTGATTATACTAATTTGTTACAAGGATTTTTATTTCCTTAATGGGGGAGGGGGGGGTTGGAAAGGAGAAACTAGTAGTAATGATGTTCCCATCCCCCCCAAAAAGAAAAAGAGAGTCATTGAAGTATTTTTTTAATTTACATAAAGAAATTCGGAAGGAGACTCAGACAAGCAGGACAGCTTTGGAACTAAAGTGTTGAGCAGTGTCCTGACCACAGATTCCAAACTTTTGTCAAAGAACATCATTCTATGTGGACATGGTATCTATATCAGATAAACTTAATACAGACAAATTTAATGGATTAAAAAGGAAAATGTATGTAAAGGCAAAACTGAAAGTTATCATTACAGAGTAAATCATTCTAGAACTCATATGCCTTAGTATATCTCATTATTTTGCAATAAAAATAAACATTTTAAAAATAAAAATTTAAGTATTTGTATATTTCTTTTTAAAATATTCAAATGTTAACTACAACACATTTCACAATTTGAGGACTATTGGGAAAAAAGTTAATCACATTTGGCCTTAAACAGCTTTACTGTATAATCACCAAGGCTGAGAACATGCATGAAGCATTGACTGGCACTCTCATTCCACTTCTGTGAATACAGGACCTCGGTGCTCATCTGACAATCTTTTATTGGTTCAGGTCAAAAGATTAATTAAATTGTAGTGGCCCATGACCATGGTAAGGTACTTTAGTGTCCCTGAAATGGCTTCATTTTTACCCAGCACCCTTAACAAAATGTTAATAGCAGCACAAAGGACAATCAGAAAAACAAGGGTGATTTGTGTTTGCTTTGGTTTAAACTTTTGTGGGAATACAGAAATGGTGACACCATTTTTTTCCTTTTTAATAATTTGGTTGTCTTGGGATTCAGGAGGATCTGGGTTCACATTCTGCCTCTTCCTAACTGTGTGACTGTGGGCAAGAAGCTAGACTTATCTGAGATTCAGCCTCAGCTCAAACCTTGCAATCTGTTCTGGGGGAGAGAATCATCCTTGACATACTGACATAAAAAATTTGTCAGACAGATAATATTAATCAAAGTTATGGCACACTATAGAGTTTGCAGAAGGAAATAAACAAAAGTATCTAAAAGAGGAACTTGCAGAAAGATGGTGATTCACCATTCCTGGGTTCTAGTTTCTTAAGCTTGTGAGGTTGCTAACATCCATTTTTCATCAATACAAACTTTCTATTTGTTTTTTTTTGTTTGTTTGTTTTTTTCATATGAGGCAACTGGGGTTAAGTGACTTGCCCAGAGTCACAGCTAGTGAGTGTTATGTGTCTTGAGGCCAAATTTGAACTCAAGTCCTCCTGACTCCAGGCCTAGTACTCTATCCACTGCGCCACCGAGCTGCCCCTCAACTTTCTATTTCTGAAGATACAATTTTAAACAAGAAGTAAACTATAAATGGTTCTTAAATCCTAAGAAGTTCTCTGGATATATATGTTTGTATTTTGGCTGAATTGTCACATGGATACTATAATGATAACGGCTGTGTAACACTATTCTGTGAAGTGTTCTGTTTTTTCCCATAATTTCTTCAGTCTTTTTGTTGATTGATAAATTCTTTTCTAAAAATTCTTTGTCTTCATGGTATAGTTCATCTCCTGAAAGGTATTAAAATTTTAATTCTATAGGGTATTATGTCACAAAGCATTTCAATCTATGAATAAAAGTTTAACTGTTAAGTATTTACTTACAAGAATGACTATAAGTAGGACTGAAGGAAATTTTTTAGATTTATAGTTCAAGTTAAAAGAAAATTCCAATTTGTATTGGGCAGTAGATCCTATAAATTTTGGGGTAGAATTTAAAAACTTCTCCCATGACTTTCTCTTAACATTTCTTACCACCTAGTTACCAATTAATTACCTTTTTATTTGAACAGGATCTATGATTTCATCAGTATAGGAAGCTCCCAGAGAAGAACTTCCTCTATGAAGATCAACACCTTCTTTGTAATTTAGCCTTAGAGATGTGCTTGCAGCACAAACAAATTAAATGACTCGTCCAGAGCCAAAGAACCAGCGCTTGTCAGAGGTGGGACTTGAATCCAGGTCTTTCTGATTCAGAGACCAACTCTTTAGGTTGGTCCTAAAGAGAGGACCATTCTCAGGTTCTGTAATTTGTATATTCATTCATTCATTCATTCATTCATTCAACAAAAATGTGAGAATCCACTATTTCCAAGCTCCCACGTTGGGAAGAGACAAAGATATATAAGACTCAGCTCCTAAGATCAGAAGTTTATCATCCAATGAGGAAAAAATGACAGATAAAAAATAATACAAAATAGATAATGTGTAAGTCCTATAAAAAAGGCATAAATTCCCAAATTAAAAAAATAAAGTTATGAAAGCATATAGCACTTTTATAAAGAAAATTTATACATAAAAATAGCAAAATTGGCCTACGTTTAGACTAATTTGATCTCTGAGGGTCAGAGAAATGTAGCTATCAATTAAGAAATGATAATATGCTACATTTTATTCACATAAATAGAAAACCACTAAATTATCACAAGCAGCACTTTCACTATTGTCCATCACCTTTAGTCAGATATAACTTTCTAGATAAAAATTTCTGGGTCACGTTCTCCTTATTTATCCTAGTCACTGACCATGATTGCTGTCTTTCCTGTTTTTTCCCTCCCCAACCCTCCCCTTCCCCCCCTTCCCTCCCCCCCAACCTGGGGCTCCCTTCAGGCAGCAGAGACAGGGCATGGAAAGTCCTTGGCTCTCCCTGGTCTCACCACTGCCCTGGGTTGTTCTGCAATTCAATTCTATCAACATTTATTAAGCACTAATTCTGTGCAGAGAAGAGCCTTGTTTCCTGGGTTGGTATAGACACAAAGCCCTAATGGCACTTATGATATATTGAGAGATATCACATACATAACTAATCGGTTTTTTTCCTTTTATCCTGGACTTGTGATTTCACTACTATTGGAAACTCCTTTCACCAACGCAGATGGCAACTCATGCGGTCTATACAATGCTTCTTAAACTGTGGGAAGTGCTGATGGGGATGTGAGTAGAAAAAGTTTAAGAACCCTGGTCTATAAAACGAATAGGTTTGACTAGAAGGCCTCAGAGATGGCGTCCAGCCCTAGCTATACAGTCCTATGATCTGTAACACAGTCTTCAGAGAGTTGACTAGAACACTGAAAAGTTAAGTGACTTGCCACAGTCACATTATGTGACATTATGTGTCAAGGGCAGGAGGTCTTCCTAATTTCAAGGCCAGTCCATCATCCACTATGTCACACTGCTTCTAAGAGACATATAAACATCTATAATGCACGATAATGTATGATATGTGTATTAGAGAGGGATGAGATTAGAGAGGGATGAAATAGTCTCAAAGATATTAACGGGGAGACAAGGTAGAGAAGTCAAAAGGAATAAATTCTTCTGCAGCAGGGAACTGGAAACAAATTGTATCGGAGGAGAGGGGGAGATACAATTCTTCCAAAAACTAGAGAAGGGCTGAACAAAACGTATATAATATGATTTCACTGTAAGAAATGACAAATATGACCGATTCAGAAAAACCTGGGAAGATTTGTATGAACTGATGCAGCAAAATGAACAAAACTATAGCACTTACATAGTGACCAAAATAATGTAAAAAAATCCCAACTTTAAAGATTCTAAAACTCTGTATGATAAATGACCAATTGTGACTTCAGAAGACAGATTTTGAAGAATATTATTCACCTCCTGGCAGAGACCTGAAGAATGAGACATACATTTACAGACTAAGCCAATGTATTGAATTGGTTTGCTTGACTATTCTTACTGATTACATGGGAGAGCTTCTAATGGAGGGAAAAGAGTTGGTGGGTACTGATAATGATGCAAAAAAAAAAAGAAGAAAAGACCAATAACTAAACAGTTTTAAAAATACAAGAGAGCAAAACGAAGTTCAAAAGGGGCCACAGACAAGCAAGGTTTTGTTACTTCTCACAATGGGGAATTAGCCAATAAGTCCAATCCTTATTAGTATGTCCATTGTACCCAGTCGATATAATACCCATTTGGATTTTTGAACACGTGTAGGCCTTCTGTAACTGGTTCTAGTCCACTGACTGTTGTAAAGAGATGGACTTTTGATTGACTGCTGAACCAGAACTGGGATGTATTCAAAAGACAATAAACATCTAAAGGGAACCTCTTGCTATTTCTTGGCTGGCTAGACTTGAATGACGAGGCAAAGACTGAAATAAACCCTCTAGGAGGACAAAAATCTCAGGTTTTTATCCTTCTACCAGGACTACTGCCATGTGTCTTGTAAGCACATGGTCCTGCTGTTAATATTCTGTCTCCATTAACTATTCTGTCCTTTGTAGCTAAACTCCTCAAAAAGGCTGTCTAAAATAGGTGCCACCACTTTCTTTTCTCTCACTTTCTTCTTAATCCCTTACTATCTGGCTTCCACCCTTACCATTTCACTAAAACTGTTCTCTCTAAAGTTACTAATAATTTCTTAGTTGCCAAATCCAGTGGTCTTTCCTCAATTCTCCTTGACCTCTCTGTAGCCTGTGACACTGTGGATCTCTTTCTCTTCCTTAATACTTCCTTCTTTCTAGGTTTTCGGACATCACTCTCCCGGTTCTCTTCTAACCTACCTGACTGCACCTTCTCTGTCTCCATTGCTGGATCCTCCTCCAGATCATGACCTCTAACCATAGTTATCCCTCAGGGTTCTGTTCTGGGCCCTTTTCTTCCTCCTCTATATTATGTCATTTGATGATCTCATTGGCAGTCATGGATTTAATTACCATCTCCATGCTGATGATTCTCAAATCTACCTGTCCTGTCCCAAACTCTCTGCCGACCTCCAATCTCACATCTCCAAATGTCTTTCAGACATCTCACACTGGTTGTCCAGTAGACATCTTAAACTCAATATCTAAAACAGAACCCATTACCTTTACACCTGAACCCTCCCCCTCCTCCTCCCTTCCCTACCACTATAAAAGCCAACACCACTCTCCTAGTCCCTCATGCTTACAACATAGGAGTCATCCTGGATTCCTCACTATCTCTCACCTCCAATATCCAAGCTATTACCAATTTCACCTTTGTAACTCAAATACGCCCCCTTACCCTCTCTGACACTGCCGTGACTCTAGTGCAGGCCCTCATCACCTTATGCCTGGATTACTGCAATAGCCTGCTGGGTGTCTGCCTGCCTTAAGTCTCTCCCTACTCCAAATCAGCCTCCATTTAGCCACTAAAGCGGTTTTCCTAAAATGCGGGTCTGATCATGTCTCTCCCACCCCCTAATCAATAAACTTCAATGGTTTCCAATTGCCTCCAGGAGCAAATATAAAATCCTGTTTGGCATTCAAAACCCTTCATAACCGAGCCCCCTCCTTCCAGTCTTTGTGTACCTTATTTCCCAATATGTATTCTTTGACCACATGACACTGGCCTCCTTGCACAGGACATTACATCTTTTGCCTCTGGGTATTCTCTCTGGCTGTCCCTCATGCCTGAAACACTCTCCCCCCTCTGCTCAGACAACTGACTTCCCTGGCTTTCTCTAAGTCCCAACTAAAATCCCACCTTTTACAGAAAGCTTTTCCCAACCCCTCTTAATTCCAGTGCCTTCCCTCTTTTAATTAGTTCCTATTTATCCTTATAATTTACTTTGCATATATTTGTTTCAATGTTGTCTCCCCCATTAGACTATAAGCTCCTTAAGGACTGGCACCGTCTTTTGCCTCTTTTTGTATCCACTGCCTAGGACATAGTAAGTGCTTAGCAAATGTTTAATGAATGAATGTCTATTCTTCTTGTTTTTAGGTACAGTACTGGAGATAGCAAGCAGTATACATCCAAGAGCTGAAGTCCACATGGGGATCTGTGGGAGCCTGAGGATGTGGAAGGGGCAGCAACTGAGGCTCGGAAGAGTGACCTGTCTGACCTAGACCACTGGTGGTAAAAGATGAAGAGTCATTCATCACCTATTCCACTTGTGGAAATGAGCTTGGTGGGGTGAATGCTTTAAGTGTGAGCCCACTCTTCTCAGAAAATGAAGGGATAGATGGCAGAGTATAACGATGACCATTCCCTCTCCCGCCCTTGCTCATAGAGGAGAATGTTTTGTAATTTTTGTCATACTTTATCTTCTTAATACATGTTGTTGTTCAGTCTTTTCAGTCATGTCCTACTCTTCATGATGCCATTTGGGGTTTTCTTGGGAAAAATAACTGCCATTTCCTTCTCCAGTTCATTTTACAGATGAGGAAACTGAGGCAGAGTTAAGTGACTTGCCCAAAGTCACACAGCTAGTAAGTGTCTAAGGCTAAATATGAACTCAGGTCTTCCTGATTCCAGGCCCAATGGTCTATCCACTGAGCCACCTAGCTGCATATATGTACTATATCTCATAACCCTTTGTAAAAGCTAATTGATGTTAACTGATGAAACAAAACTGTAAAATGAAATTTTAGGAACATAATAAAGTATTTGGCCTTAATTTATTCTCTAAACATATAGGACATTTAGCAGAGTTTGCACTTCATTAAAATGTACTTTGCAAAGCTAATGTTTTATGTGGCATTACTAATAATTTATATTTATTCCAATAAGAATATTTAAAAATATTTTAAATTGATCAATTTACCTGGTAAGAGCTGCATGGCACCATCTAGGGTAAGCAATGTAATTGGCAGCCATCTTTCACATCCTTCTGAACTCCGGTCCAAACAAAATTTGTGCAAGTCCAATAAAGAAGCAAAGTTTTTAAGTCTTCTTATCTCATAGAACTGAGGAGGTGCCAACCATATTTCTTCATATGCGAACTTTTTTATTGCTCCTGTTGGAGTTATCCACTGTGAAAGACAAAGGTCATAGTTTCTAAAAGTCAAAAGTAGCAATTCAGACAGTTAAAAAGGTACACAAGGCAAATGAATTTTTTGCCTTTCTCATTATCTGTTAATTTATTTGGTCAATTCATTCTGTTCAAAACAGAACTCATCATCTTCCCACACAGCCCCTCCCTTCCACTAAACTTTCTCATTTCTCTGGAACCTTCCAGCTTCCCAAGTTTGTATCTTCAACATCATTCACTCTCCTTCACCACACATAACCAATAGATTTTTTAACACTTCTATTTCAATCTCTCTTGAATCTCTATTTACAAAGTCACTACCTTAGTTGAAGCCCTCATCATCTTCACCCCCAATCATCTTCTTGGACTATTGAAATGGCTTACTAATTAGCCTCCCTGTTTCAAGTCCTTTCCCACACCACTGAATACTAATCAGCTCCCAGAATGACTGTCATTAATCATAGATCTGACTATGCCACTCCTCTACTCAATAAATTCCAGTGGCTTATTGTTGCCTCTAGGATAAAATTAAAACTTCTCTTTTGGCTTTTAAAGTCCTTCACAACCTGGCCCAACCCAATCTTTCTAGGCTTATCCTACATTACTCCTCTTCCTATAGGTTTGCATGGCGATACTCTATCCTGGCTTGCCATGGAAGCCTGGAGGCAGAGATGAGGAGGGAGATCATTCCAGGAACTGGGGAAAACCAGTGAAAATGCTCAGTTGGGAGATGGAATATTGTGTGTGAGACAGCAAGGAGGCCAGTGACACTGGACCACTCCTTTTGAGGCTCCTTTGCTCGATCTTGGATCAAGTCACAACTACTAATGGTGGGTATCTCATGGAGCTTTGTCCTGGGTCCTCTTCTACCTCTATACTGTTTCACTTGGTGATCTTATCAGCTGTCTTGGATTCAATTAACATCTCTATGCTGATAATTCTCAGATCTACTTATCCATGCCTAACCTGTCTGTTGACCTTCAGTCTTAGGTCTCCAACTACTGGACATCTCAAACTGAATGTCCTGTAAAAATCTTAAACTCAACATGTCCAAACTAAGAAGAGGAAAAGTGAGATGGACCACTGGATTTTGGGAAAGCAGATTTCAAAGTATTTAGAGGAAATAGGTAGAATCCCATGGACTAAAATTCTACAAAAGAAGTCTGGTCAGAAGGAATGGGAGATGCTCAAAAATGAAATTCTGAGAAGGCAAATGTAGATGCACAGAGAAACAATCAATTTATATTTTAAAAAGAAATGTGGAGTCAATGTGGAGTGGACTCAAATATTTGTATATTACACAGAAGTCTTTCTTCAGGGAAATAACTGGTAGATACTAGACATGATAAACACTGAATAACATCAGAAAAAAATGAACATTTATAGTTTAACAGAGAGAAGACTACTGTTAATAACTGAAGTCATCCCTGAAAAGATAAGAATTAGTATAAAGTTAATAGAAGAATGTTAATGATAAAACCATGAGACATATAAATGAAACAAATTCTGACTTATTTAAATAAGTTATTAATAGCAGAGAAGTGGAATGAAGTAGAATAGTAGAAATTATATCAACATTGAACAATTGCCATAACAAGGAGAGTTAAAGAGCCTAAAAAGCACTTTAATTAAAACATTTATCTGCCAAGCAGAGACAGAAGGCAGACAAAGGAAATTCCTGTTTGGAATACAAACCCATTTGTAAAATCTTACCAAGAATGAGAAAGAAAGATTATGAGCAGTACTGGCTCATAAAGCAGGAAGAAGCAATAGAGGATAAAACAATTTTAAAGATGGCCTGGCGAGACACAACTAAGCAAAGTTATATATAGGAGGCCATTTAAAGATGAAAATGAAAGAAAGGCAACAAAAAAGAAAAATGGAAAAGTTCTACAAAGATTTATATTAAACTGTTTCACCATCAAGGACTAAGCACAGCTATCCACCCTTGGATTCCATCATCCCACTCCTGGATGTGCTTATAGAAGCAGTGTAAGTGGCACTAAAGGGAACAGAGATGGGAAAATCAACTGAGACAGATCAAGTATACTTAGAAAGATCCATGTTGGAGGCAACAGTTTGGATATGTTGAGTTTAAGATGCCTATAGGACATCCTATTTGAGATGTTCAACAGACAGCTGGATATGATGTAAATAAATCACTATTCAAACTTATATCACTTAAAACCTTAAAATTATAGACCTCTGTTTATATTTTGTAGGCAAGAATCAATAATCACTGAATGGTTCCTTCCTTTCTATTCCTATTAAAACTATTCACTACTAATGCCTTCATTACCACTCACCTGGGGTTACCACAATAGTCTTCCTGTGGCTCCCCTCTAATTTATACTCCATAAGGTCATCAGAATTACCTTTATGCATAGAAACAGCAGTGTCACTCCTCTATTCAAAAGTCTTTATTTATTTTATAGGCAATAAAAAGTCACTAAAGTTTGAATTCCATTACTGGGTACTGAAGGCATTACTATCTATAGTTCCAGCCTTATCTCGTTCCCCTTCATGTGCTCTCCACCTGTGCAAAACTGGAATAATGGATCTGTATTTTGCACTCTCCCTGTATTATGTTGTTGTTCAGTCGTTTTTTCAGTGGTGTCTAGCTTTTGGTAACCCCATTTGGGGTTTTCCTGGCAGAGATAGTGCAGTGGTTTGCCATTTCATTCTCCAGCTCAGGTGTTCTATCCGCTGCCACCTAGCTGCCCCAACCTTATATTATACTTAACTGCAAATGAGTAGGAACATTCCAGTAGAAAATAAATCCTCAAGGGCAAGGACTGTATTTGTTATTTGAATTATATTGTGTTGAACATCCTGAATTAGAGCTGAAAGAGATCTTAAAAGTTCACTGCATTAATTCAACTGAACAAGCATTTATTAAGTTTCTATGCCAAGCTGGGTATGAGATAACTCATATGTTGAAGGTTAAAGGCACTTTTCTTGAAACAACCTGCTAAGTCCCTTCTCTACTCCTTAGTGTTACAGTTGCCTAAAAGCAGCGATTTAATTCAATTCAATAAACATTTAATGAGCACCTACTATGTGCCAGGCACTGTGTTAAGCCCTGAAAAGTTAAGTGATTTATGGAGGGGCATACAACTAGACCTCAAAGGAAGGACTGGGCACCAGATCTCTATCCACTAAATCAAGTCCTTAGCCATAAGTCATACAACCATTCTTATCCCCAATTTTACCATGAAACGGGCACTTAGAGATTTGGTGGCTTACTTGCCAGTAGTCACACAACTAGATGTCAAGAATTACGATCTAAACCCAGATCTCATAACTCCAAATCCTGCACGCATGCCACTACTACACCCCTCTATCTTCACTGAGCTTGCAATTCCTTATCCACCCCCCAAAAGGAATGACAACTATGATTCCAAATAATAGACATGTCCATAAGAGAGTATTATTTTAAGGATGAGAAAAGAGGATGAGATTCAGGAAGCGGAAATGCCATATCCATAGTGACAAGTCAGAACTCTTGGTGCCAGGGGTTCCTTCCTCCCCGTCCCGGGCTTTCTGTGTGTTTAGGAGCTAGGATGCTTCCGGAGCCCTTGTTTATGAGAGCATCCCTCCCCTGACAGCTCTCCTTAGCCGAGTCCTGAAGGAGTTTCCCCTTTACCTCGCATTTAATCGCTTCTAGCATGTCCAGGAAGGTCTGGGGTTTGCTCTGCAGGCAGCAGACATAGAACCTCGTGTCGAAGCGCCTCCCTCCTTTCCTCACAAACGGCGTGAGCCAGTTACTCCACTCTTGCAGGGCCCAGAGGTTGGGTACGCAGCCCAGGCGCTGACACAGCTGGAGAAACTGGCCCGGGTCTTCCTTGACCCTGGCCCTCCAAGCCGCCAGGTCGGCGGGCGGCGCATGCGCTCGGGCCAGGTGCGGGGCCTTGGCGCCGTTGCGGAGCAGCAGGAGGATGCCCGATTCCTCGAAGGTTTCCCGGATAGCGCAGATGCGAAAGGCCACGTCGTCGGGGATGAGCGAGCGACAACCAGGCCAGGGCGCTAAGGCCACCTCGGGGTAGTTTTCCCTGGGCCCGGAGAGGGCCAGGCCAAAGCTCGGCGGCCCGTGGTGGGGCTGGAAGACGGCGAGCCAGTCGGTCGAACAGTCCGCGGCCTCCAGGACGCCGCCCGGGAAGACGTGGGCGCCGGGCAAGAAGCTGCTGCTCTGGGTGCGCTGCAGCAGCAGCACCTCGTAGTCCTCGGCCGCGGCGGACGGGCTCGGCGGGGCATGGCCCGCGGCGAGCAGTAGCGTGGCGGCCCGGCGCCACTGGCGCAGCGAGACCTGCATGGCGACCCGCGGCGGAGCAGGCCCGACCGGCCTGACGTGGCGCGCGGCGCTCCCTCCCCCCCGCCCCGTGCAGGCGCTCCGCGGCTCGCGCACGGCTGGGGGCGGGGCGGCTTCGGGGCCGGGGGGGGGGGCGCTGACCGCGGCGCCCCAGCAGGGGGTGGCACTGACACTGACTCCCAGCCGCCGCTTCTCCGTCTCTGAAATCCATCTAATATCCTCACCCGGCGTTGGGGGGAGGCCGGAAGGGGCGTTAACCGTGGTTGGCATCGCACCGCCTCTCCTCACCGGGAGGGCGGAGCCTTGTCCGAGGTCGTGCGGGAAGGTCGTCCCGCAGCCAGGCCGGTGACCTGCCGCCCGCAGCAGCGCGGAGCGGGAGCTGTCGTGTCAGGAGAGCGGTAACCGGGAGCTCCAGCCTGCCCCAGAGTGTTGTAAAACGTTTTTGTTTTTAAATAAAAAGAGCTCTAGTTCACAGGGTAAATCTGTGGACCACTTCTAGTGAAGTTGGGGAAGCCTGGATTTTCAGTCACAAAGTTTGTGGCTTTGCCATTTAACACCTACACCATCCTGCTTAAGGATCGCCTTGGTCATGTTGACACATTTGGGACAAGTATCAACAAATGTGAAAATTCAAAAATACAAAGTAGGAAGGAATACAATTTCGTGTATATAAAACTGAATTTGTTATATAAAATTTTTAAGTCTGTATTAAATTCAACATGGTAGTATTAAAATTAAAAAAAAAACTGCCCTGCTTGTCTGTGTCCCATTCTGAACTTTTGTGAATTTTTAAATTTATCACTGACATTCCTTTTCCTTTTTTGCACCTCTAGCACTTAGCAAGTAAATACATAGGAAAAAAGATGATTTCTTTTTATACACAGGTACAACCTATTTCATGTAATCTTTACCCTTGTCACAGTCATTTCAATCCTTCCCCCATCAAATTGAACTTTTTTCTGTGACAAAGAAAAACTCTTAAAACAAAAACATCTAGTAGTGGCCACATTGGACAGTGTATATAATGTTATATTATAGTAGGGCTTTGTCTATCTGCCTAAGAAGGTACATAATGATGTTTCATTTGCTGTTCTTAGGCACCTCCCATTGTTAATTGTTGTAATTTTTTTGTTATGAACTTAACAAAGATCAACAAATATGAAAATTCAATATACAAAGAACAAAAAGGCAACTGCATATGAAACTGTACTTTTGTTATGTACAGTTTTTGAAGTGTATATTAAATTCAACATAGTAGTAACAAAACTGCCTTACTAGTCTGTGTCCCATTCTGAACTTCTGTGATTTTTTTAAATCAGTGACATTCCTTTTCATTTTTTGCATCTTTATCATTAACTCCCTACTCTGCTGGCCAAAATAGAAGTCCTCCCCTGTAACAAATATAGTGAAGCAAATCAAAACAACACATTAGCCACATGAAATCACATGTCTAATTCTGTACTTCTAATCCATCACCTCTTTGCCAAGAAGTTGCAGTCATGCTTCTTCAGCAGTCTTCTGAATTCACTGGGTTTTTTTATTACTTACATTCTGATATTCACTGTGTATGTTGTACTTATTTCTCTCTCCATCAATTAAAAAACTCTTCTATATTTCTCTGAATTCTTCATTTTAACATCTTACTATACAATAGGATTCTGTTATATTCATATACCACAATTTTTTCAACTCTATCTCAATTGATAGGCACCTCTTTTGTTATCAGTTTTTCCTACCACAAATTGTGCTGCTATGAATATTTTGGTATATTTTGGACTTGGTTTTTGTCTTTGATTTCCTTGGGGTATATATCTATTAGTGGGATCACTGATTCAAAGGGCATGGAGAGTTTAGTCCCTTTCCTTACCATTCCAAATTAAAATCTAGAATGGTTGGAACACTTCATAGCTCCACCAACAATGTACCTATTTTCTCAGAGCCCCTACAACATTGAATGTTTTCATCTTTTGTCATCTTTTATAATTGGACAATTTCTTCCAGTACTACAGACAGTATATCACTCAGCCTTGCACTACACATACATTGCTGGACTTCTTTCAGCATCTTGTTCAGTGGCTTTTGTGTTGAGTCAGATAACACTGTGTTCAAATTCTGTGAGTTTAAAACCTACCACAGATATTAGCTGTATGACCCTGGGCAAGTTACTTAGCCTCCTTCAGACTCAGTTTCCTCATGTGTAAAATGGGGATAATATGAGGATACCTACTTCACAGTGTTGTTGTGAAGATTCAGTTCAATAAACATTAAGTACCTACTACGTGCCAGGCACTGTGCTAAGTGCTGGAGATACAAAAAGAGGCAAAAGACAATCCCTGCCCCAAGAAGCTTACAATCTAATTTTGAGGACAACACATAAATATATGCAAAGCAAGTTATATGTAGAATAAATAGGAAGTAATCAATGGAGGGAAAGCACTGGAATTAAGACTTTCTGTAGGAGGTGAGATTTTAGTTGGGACTTAAGGAAGCCAGGGAGGTCAGTATTTGGAATGGAAGAAAGCATTCTAGGCATGGGGGACAGCTAGAGAAAATGCCTGAAGCTTACAGCTGTAGTGTTTTGTCCATGCAACAGTCAGGAGGCCAGTTGTCACTGGATCAAAGAGTACATGTTGGGAGGTAAGTTATAAGAGGATTAGAAAAGCAGGAAGGTGTTAGGTTTACAAAGGTCTTTGAATGCCAAACAGAGTGTTTTGTATTTGCTCCTAGAGGCAACAGGAACCGCTGGGATTTATTTGGGAGAGGGGAGGTACATGATCAGACCTGAATTTTAGGAAAATCACTTAGTGGTTAAATGGAGGCTGAAACGGTGAGAGACTTGAGGCAGGCATATTCTCTCCCCACCCCCCCCGAGCAGGCTATTGCAGTAGTCCAGGTATGAAGTGATGAAGGCCGAGCTAGAGTAGTGGCAGTGTTAAAGGAGAGAAGGGAGCACATTCAAGAGATATTGCAGAAGTGAGATCAGCAGGCTGTGGCAACAGACTGGTGGTAGTTGTTGTCCTTAGTTCTCAGAGAGGACCAAAATGACATCACTCTGTTAGAGTCGACTTGCAGTGTCTCCAGCTGTGGCTGATCAGACCAATATGAGTTCAGAATGCTTTACCACAGGTTTGTCACAAATAGTCTGTGTGAACATTTGGAGTAGATTCTCTAAATTCGCATGTCTTGGGTTTTTTTTTTTAGCTACTTCAATTCTGCTTTGTTCATAGAGCACAGCACCTTCTCTGAAGAGGGTACACCATGCTGGGCAGTCCTTTGCACTGAGCAGTCCTTTGCCAGCATCTCCCACGTCACCCAATCCCCAAGTTCTTCAGAGAGATCTTGAGAGTGTCCTTGTTTTGCTTCTTCTGACCAGCATGTGAGCACTTGCTTTGTACGAGTGCTCCATAAAATAGTCTTTTAGGCAAGTGTACATTTGGCATTTGAATAACATGGCCAGCCCATCAGAGTTGCATTCTCTGCAGTATACTGCAAGTATGCTTGGCAGTTCAGTTTAAGAAAAACCTCAGTGTCCAGTACCGTATCCTGCCAGGTGATCTTCAGAATCTTCCTAAGACAATTCAGAGAGAATATGCCTGCCTCAGTTTCTTGCCATAGCTTGGGTAATCTGTCCAAATTTCACAGGCATACAACAATGAGGCCAGCACACTGGCTCTATACACCTTCAGTTTTAGGCAATTCTCTATTCTCCCATACTTTCCTTTGGAGCCTCCCAAACACTGAGCAGGATAGTTCATCCATCTCTAAGAAGGCAGTATTTAATTCCATCAAAAGAATCTATCAATGTGTACAGCCCTAGAAAGTATACTGCCAAGGTAAGTTAACTTATCTACAGTATTCAAAACTTTTATATTTGCTGTAACTAATTGTTCCATGTATAGATGATGTGGTGCTGGCTGGTGGAGCCCCTGTGTTTTCTTGGTGTTTATTGTTAGGCCAAAATTAGCACAAGCAACAGAGAATCAATCCGTAATTGTTGAATCTTAGCTTCAGAGACTGCCTCGAGTGCACAATCATCTGCAAACAAAAATCATGCACCATCTCTCCCTCCACTTTAGTCTTGGCTTGTAGCCTTTTCAAGTTCAATAAATTTATTGTCAGTGTGGTAACTGACCATGATGCCATGTTTGTCTTAATTGAAGGCATTTTTGACAGCATGGCTGAAAACATCATGCTAAAAAGCATGGGAGCAAGCACACAGCCTTGCTTCGCTCCATTGGTGACAGGGAAAGTGCAAGAGTATTGTCCATTATCCAGAACCCTGGCAAACATGCCATCATGAAACTGATGTACAATACTGATGAACTTCTCTGGGCAACCAAATTTTGTTACGATTTCCCACAAACCCTCATGAATGACAGTGTCAAAGGCCTTGGTCATATTGATGAATGTGCACAGACCACTGTTCTACTCCTGGCATTTCTCTTGGAGTTATTGGGTAGCAAACATTATATAGACTGTTCCTTGGCCCTTTCTGAAGCCACACTGGCTCTCACATAGATGACCATGTGAAGGCTCAGCCTATTAAAGAGGACTCTGGCCTATGGCATTCAAAACCTCTTCTTCAGTTGGAAATTTGGCTAGAGAGAGATTGACTTCAGCATGAGGTAAATGGTCAGTGGCTTTAACATTGATTGATGATGGTCTATTGAGAATACTATGCAAGTGTTCAGCCTATCTCTCCAGGATCATGTCCTTATCGCTAATCAATGTGGCTCCATCAGCACTGAGTAGTTGAGATGCACCATATGTGTTTGGCTCATAAATAGCCATTAGGGCATAATAAAAATGCTTTGGATTGTCACTATCAGTGTAAAACTGAATTTCATCTGCCTTCTTACTGAGCCAAGAATCCTGCATCTAAGTTTTGCTTATACTTTACTTTTGATGGAATTAAATACTGCCTTCTTAGAGATGGATGAACTATCCTGCTGATAAACCCTGTGAAGTTCTTGTTTTTCATTTAGCAGCTTCTGAATTTCCCC